GGCACCAAGCCCAGGACTCAAGGAGAAGGAGCCCATGTGTGCGCTCCAGAGTCCACTCATTTCTAGATAGATTATCTAGTCCAAATATCTCACCTGATAGCTGGAGAAACTGAGGTCAAGGGTTGAAGTGACTTACTAAGTCCTCATAAGTTGTTTACCAGGAATAAACTTCCCCAGATCCTAGGAGATTAAAAGCAATAAATGGGTGGCTGAGGGAGGAGTGTGGCTGTCATACTTAAGCCAGTGACAAATGCCAGGTAACAATGAAGATGAGGCAGAAAAACTAAAGAGTTTATTACAAAATAATAAGGATGTTAAAAACAAAACATGAATCTGAGTCATTATGAAAGATCTAACTAAATTTAGTATTCTCCATTGGCAAAAAAAAAGTACATGCTATCTCTTAGAAGGTTTCCATCAAGAATGTTTAAGATAAACATAAAGTTCTCATCCAGGGCGGTAAACTCCAGGTCTTGGAAAGTTAATTCCTGTGGAATGTCTTCTTGCCCAACAATGCTAGATAGATGTTATATATGCACACACACTTGCTTTTTCAAGGATAGATGACATTTAAATTTCAGATGTGCACACATTTCACAGACAATAAGACTTAATACTCTGAATTCTGAGGGCTAAAATAACTTGTATACAAATGACCACTTATCTAAATTACCTGAAATAAAAATGACTGACTGCAAAAGAGTCCTCAAGAACATACAGTACTGAAGCATCACTAATCACCGCTCCCAAGGCCACCCATGTATAAAACAGCACCTTATCAGTTCCTGTGATGTTGTGGGAGTCCAAAGATAAGAGACAGTATGAATAAGAATTTATTATCCCAGTGAGAAATAACAAGAATGGTCTTATATGATGTCCATCCCAGGACTGAGACTCTTCCCTTCCTTCCCCTCACCTACAACTCACCTTTAATAACATAACAAAGGAGGGGTTTCTCTGTGATAAGACCCCTCATTGGTTTCTATGCTTTAAATTCATTATCATGCTCCTGGTGTTGCCCCTCCCCAGGTCATCCCTTCCCCCAATCATCTCTACAATTGATAGGATTTCTGGACAGTCTTCCCAGGTGATATCATCCCTGTGTCTGGGGTCCAGGTGAGCAGGCCTAGGTCTTCACCTGTGCCTGCTCAGGACAGTGCACATTCCACGACACCCCACGTATCCTCACTAAGGGCTAAGATCCACGCCTCTGTCTTTACATTCTGTGGTACAATTTTAACGACTTTTACCTCAGCCAGTTTCTTTTCTTCACACTCACTTCAAGCATGATTTAGAGGAAAGAACAGGAGCTTTGGAGCCAGGAAAACCTGGGCTGAAGCCCAGTTCCAGCATCCAAATTGAGCTATGTGACTGTGAACAAGTTATTTCTCCTTCCTGAGCCTTAGTTCCCTCAAGTGTAAAAGCCGTTGGGTGTATAGAATAAATGAGATGATATGCATAAAGCTCCTGGCACATAGTAGGTGCTCAGTGGATGCGCCTTCCCTCCCCCTCCTCTCTCCGTTTCCCCACTTGTGTCTGTCGGCTCTAGCCTCTCTCTCTGCGGAATGTTTTCTCCAGTCTCTACACACTGACCTCTTCCCATATGCTTCCTCTTGGCAATCTCTCTACACCTGAATCATGAAGAGTGTTTGAAAAACCTATATCAGGAAATGCGGTTATAGACGATTGCCAAGTTGTGGTTCTTGAAATAGAAATAAGAAGATTGCAAAATGGGGCTGCACTATAGGGCTGAAGACGGAGGAGGCAGAGGAGGCCCCTGGACTCTCTCGGCCCTCCTGGCCCCCTCACCCAGTAGAAAGGGTTGCAAACAAAAATAAAGGATGCTGTTAAAATTTCATTTCAGATAAACAACATGGACTTTTCTAGTATGTCCCAAGTATTGCAGCAGAGAAGGAAGATGCCTCTCCAGCAAAGGAGAAAAGCTCAGAGAAAGAAAAATAAAGACTGCGACTGCCAGAGAAAGGTGACTGTCCCTTCCACCTGGTGCCACCAGAGAGAGCTTCAAGTTCTCTGACAGAAAGGAAACTCCTGCTGGAGTCATAACTCAGTGTAGTCTGGAGTTCTGGAAAGTGCCAGGAGGCTAAAGAGGCAATCAAACTATGTCCATGGTCTTAACAACTCCATGAAGCATCAGAGGTTACTGGAGTGATAAAGGGATTTAAGACTACAGTGGCCCAGGCATTCTCAATCTGCCCACCAAATGCTTGATACATGAGTTTTATGTTATTTTTTACTCATTAATTTCTTTTCCTTTTTTTCCATTAATTTTTTAAACATAATTTCATTTGATGAGCACTTATTTTATATTTCACGTAACCCTAAGAATGTTGGGAAAGAGGCAATAAGCTACTCATATTAAATACAAGTGAGTTCTCTAAATTTATTTGGATTTGAATTTTCTGTTTTAAAAGAGGGGTGGTTAAATGACATATGAAAATGCACGTTACTGCACAAATCGAAATATCACCTCTTGTCAGGATTGTTACAATAACCTCCAAATTAGACTCCTTGCTTCTGCCCATCCAATCTCTTCTCAACCCAGCAGCCAGGATGATCCTTCTAAAAAGTAAATCAGACATGCCACTTCCCTTCTCAAAATCCTCCAGCGCCTCCCCATCTCACTCCAAGTAAAAGTTCCTCCAGCGGCCTGTGAGGTTCTTCATGACTTGGCTGCCTACTCGCTGTCCCCTCTGACCTCACCTCCTCCCGCTCTTCCCCTGGCTTACTCTGTGCCAGCCATACTTGTGCCCACAACATTCTTGCTCAGGATATCCCCATGTTCATCCCCTGCCCTCCGTCATGTCTTTGCTCTAATGCAACTTCTCCCTAATTCTTCTCTGACCATGCTTTTTAAAAACATAGTCCCCACTCCTTAGCCTGACCTCTCCCCCTTCCCTGCCATATCTTTCTTCATACTCCTGGTCCCCATCAACATACTATATATTTAGCTTAGTTGTATACTTTGTGTCTCTCTCCATGAGAATGTAAGGCAGAAATTTTGGTATTTGTTCACTGCAGCGTCCCCAGCACATAGAACATGGCACATAGTAGGCAGTCAGTAAAATTAGTTATCGAATATTGAGCAAGCATAAGATAAAAATATTGATGAGTTATGTGGAAGAAAGTCTCGGTGAACTGCTTCTATAAAGATTACAGTCCAGAAAACCCTATGGAGCCGTTCTGCTCTGTAACACATGAGGTCGTCATGAGTTGGGGGCCAACTTGATGGCAGCTAACAACAACATACTAGGGTAAAATGAACTTGCTGAAAGTCAAACACATAAATAAATGTGCGGTTTAGGCTTCGAAGTTGAAAAATAGCTTTTCCACTGAAGCCTTTCACTTGGTTTTTTCCTTTCCTAATCAGAAAATTATAAAGAGCTGGAGGGCGCTGTAATTTTCCTACATCTGTAATTAATATTAAAAAATGCAGGACAGAACATTTTCACTATTGGCATTTTTCATAAGTCATATGGAGTCCCTGGGTAGTGTGAATGGTTGGAAAGGTAGGAGGTTTGAGTCTACCCAGAGGCACCTCAGAAAAAACTTCTGGTGATCTACTTCCAAAAATTCAGACACTGAAAACCCTATGGAGAACAGGGTCACAAAAGCAGGAGTGGGTACTGCCACTTTTCCATCCCCGTCCTCTGCACGTTTCACAGAGCCTCCACTAGTGCCATGCTGGGGCAGCACGGCCATAAGTTTGCCACCTCTATGATTCCCAGGAGCCACTATGAGAAGGGCCCAGGGAAGGATTTGCCATTTTCAGTGGAAAATAAGTGGCGTTTATTAATTATCATGATTTAATACTTTGGATCTGGATTTACTGCATGTTTCTTTATACTAAGACACCAACTGCTTAAGAAATAAGGATGTTTAAGTTCATCCATGAAACAGACAAGAAGACGAGCACATTAAAAAGTGCAACCTTTGAAAAATGGATCAAACTCTGTTGAATTCGTATAGCATACTGCATATGTTAGCAGATAAACTTATTACATGGGGAAAAAATTCTATGGAGTACAGTTCTACTCTACATGGGGTCAGCATGAGTTAGAAGTGACAACTGGTGGTTATGATTGAAAAAAGTATATCTTTGTCTGAAGTAACATCCTTTTAAAGTACTTCCCAATCTTAAAAGCTAGCAAGCGGTCATCTAAGATGCATCAATTGGTCCCAACCCAGCTGGGGCAAAGGAGATTGAAGTACAGCAAAGACACAAGGAAAATATTAGCCTGAGAGACAGAAAGGGCCATATAAACGAGAACTAGATGGTGCCCGGCTACCACCAATGACTGCCCTTGACAGGGAACACAACAGAGAGTCCCTGACACAGCAGGAGAAAAGTGGGGTGCAGAACCCAAATTCTAGTAAAAAGACCAGCTTAATGGTTTGACTGAGACCAGAGGGACCCCGGAAGACATGGCCCCTGGACTCTCTGTTGGCCCAGAGCTGAAACCATTCCAGAGGCCAACTCTTTAGACAGAGATTAGACTGGACTATGGGAGATAAAGTGATACTTGTGAGGAGTGTTCTTCTTATCTCAAGTAGATACATGAGACTAAGCAGGCAGCTCCTGTCTGGAGGCGACATGAGAAGGCAGAGAGGGTGAGGAGCTGGTTGAGTGGACACAGGAAATCCGGGGTGGAAAGGAAGAGTGTGCTGTCACAGTACAGGGAGAGCAAGCAGGGTCACATAACAATGTGTGTATGAATTTTTATATGAGAAACTGACTTGAATTGTAAACTTTCACTTAAAGCACAATAAAAAATAAAGTGCTTCCCAAGTCTCCGCCATTAGGCTAAGAAATTGCAAATTAAAGATGTGCTCCTCATAAAGTTTCAGCACAATGGACATTCAGTAAATGTTTGTTCACTGGCAAATTTCCCATCTGTCACCCTTTTAACAAAGGTCTAACTGAACTACCTTTAAATGTGAGATGTGTCAGAATCCAAAATGCCAAACAGAATTCTCATTACCTCTCAACAGAGTCTCGGATGAGCTGCTGCAAGTCCACCTCCTGCTTCCTCAGGGTTCCAAATGAAGACTGACTCTCCACGAGGCCTTTGGCTCCAATATTCAGTTTGACCTTCCCAAACGCCGTCTCAATGGTCCCACCTACGTGATTTTCAAACTTGCCCTCGTATTTCACAAAATCTGACTCCACAACCACTGGAATGAACGAGATGTGCAGAGGAATCAGATGACAAGCTGGACACCTCTGAGTCTTAGGTCACCTAGCTTCCCAAGCCCGTGGAGACCCTTGGGGGACATGAGGTTTGTGTTCAAAAGGGAAAGCTGGCAGTCATGCTGTGTGCATGTGTCAAAAGAAAATGGGGCCACCACTCCCACGAGCTGACTGAGAGCACAGGATGAACCGGTGGCCTGGGACTCACTGGGTACTCTTTCAATTTTTTTTTTTTTTAATTCCGATATATATTAGAAAGGCACACAAGACATACGTGTACAGTTAAATGAATAATTTTAAAGTGAATACCCATTTAACCATTAGTCAGGTCAAGAAATAGGATGAACATGAAAAGGAGCTACAGTGAAGCCTGTGAGAGCAAGAACTCAACGGGAATGCCTTGTTTTTCCGGGTCTCACAAGTTTTCCTCCATTGACGAGGTGAGGTCTTACCACTTTTCTATTGCTCGTTTTAGTGGAAAATATTTGAGTTTTCCTTCTCTGACAGGTTTCTGCCTTATACACGTTCTGGCTTTCACAGATTTTACTATATATAAGAAAGACACTTAAGCAGAGAGAGAACAGCAGCCCCTGCCCTGTGGACCACCTTACTCAGCATCTGGCGGGTCTGCCCCTGGCCCTGCCCTTGGGCATCTTCTCTTCCCACCCACCAGTCTTGTGAAACATCCCCCTGGCCTTCATTGCCATCTCCAGGCACACAAGTTCCTTCCCATATTGATCTTTTCATATGTGACCTCTGCCTAGTATTTAATTCCTTATTATGCAATTCCTTATCTCTGTCTTCCCAGTAAGGTCTGTGGACTTGCCCTCCCTCCCTCCAAGACCATCCTGTAGTACAAAAGCTCCCAGACTCTCTCCACCCTTCTTTCCTGGCTTCCCAGCCACTAAGGAATACTCCACCCCTCCTCCCCAACCTGGGAACTGTCATGCTCCTCCTCTTCTGGCCATAGTCAAGTGATGGCTATCAGACTGTCTTCAAGATCTGCCCTTTTATCTGAACCCCAAAGATAAATTTCTGCTGATCTCATACCTGAACGGCAGCCTTTTCACATGGCTCCAGGTTTCTACTTTTCTCATGTTTAATCCAACCAAATACCATCATAAAAGTAGTCTTAGTCATCATCCTTCAGTAAGGAGTCAGCTAGGAACTTCACACTGGGACTTTTTCATTTCTTTGACTCAAGGCTCTCCTTGACTCCTGGTTGCACTTCATATGGGATTCAAATCCACCTGGTGTCTGAAAGGCTTCTTTCCATCCACTCAGTGTCTTAAGTTTCCCCTCCCCTCAACATCGATATTTCTTTCAGTCCAGTCAAGAAAACCCACTCCTCAACCAGGATTAATGAGAATTAATCACCATTCATTATCTTTGCAATTTACAAAGCAGAGAGCCCTCTCCCTACCACCACCAAAAAAAAAAGGCTTTAAAAATGCCTCAATTCAAAGTCTATTCCTAGTAGCACTCACTGACTACAAACATTTTGGGAAATGCTTTTGGAGGCAAGATAGAGTAATTGTCAAGAGTACAAGATTATATCCCTACCATGAGACAGACTGACATAGTGGCTACAACAACAGGCTTAAACATACTAAAGATGGGAAGGACGACCAAGGACTAGACAACATTTCATTCTGTTATGCATAGGTCACCATAAGTTGGAGTCATCTCAAAGGCAAGTAACAACAACAGCAACAATATTACTAAATACAACCAGAATGATCATTAGAAGAAAAAACAGTGAGACTTTGGCTCACATACTTTGGACGCATCACCAGAAAAGACCAATCACTAGAAAAGGAAAATATACACAGCAGGGTAGGCCCCCTAGCTGGTCCAAAAATGGCTAGAGAGTGGGGAAAGGAGAACGACTTGGGGTTTTTATTGTGGTTAGGGGGTGGGACTTGGGTGAAGGTTCTAGTGCATAGGCTGGGGCTTGCATAGTTAGTTTGGTAAAGTAGAGGGTCAGCGAAAATGAGGGAACCCCTCAATGCGATCGATTGGCACGATAGCCACGGTGGACTCAAACATCAAAGATCATGAAGATGGCATAGGATTGGGCAAAGTTTTGTTCTATTATACATAAGGTCACCATGAGTGGACACTGATGACGGCAGCTAACAACAACAACAGCATTACTATAGCTGTGAGACCGTGGGCAGCAATCGTCTCCCTGAACCTCAGGTTTCTCATATGTAACTTGAGGGTAATTAATACCACCACCCTGGTTAAGTCTATTGCAAGTTGATATATGCAAAGCATGTACTACAGAGCCTAGCACATAGCAAGCCCTCAGTTACTACAGAGCCTAGCACATAGCAAATGCTCAATCTAGCCACTGGGTTCAGGCCAGAACAACATTATTTTCTGACAAGCAGGACAGTCCTAGGTTCAACAAAGTGCTAGCCAGACAGAAATTCTACCTTCAGGAACACAGCTCTGGTTGTATCCAAGCTTCTTACCACCTGTGGAAACTGTCCCCAAGGCTGACCCCATAGCAGGTGGGGACAATCAAGAGTTTGGCCACGTATTCTGAAAAGCCAGCCTAAAAGGATGTCATTTGTGCACACTTTTGTGTCAAGTCATTATCTGCTAGTGGTGGAAGAGAGTAAACAAGGACACCGCCATGAGATGCCTGGGGTTGACAACAATTAAACAACACCCTCAAACGCCACATCTCTGGGCAACAAATACACTGTGGTGTTGTGTGCGCCAAAAAATAATGAAGCTGAAGCATCCTGAAGCGTTTGCTCAGGAGACAAGGAAAAGACATCGCGCTGTCCTCTCATCACAGCCCTAATGCCAACAGGAAACAGCACTGGCCTCTCATAATTAGAACAGCGGGGGCTTCGCCATCTGCAGTGACTGCGACTGGCCTCACTGATCTTTCAGGACACCTCGAAAGGGGCACTCTGGTAGCACAGAGCAGTTTCAGTACTTAGGCGTCCATGGTCTACTTGGTGAGTATTTTATCTCTTGCATCTGCTCATCTCAACGGCAGTTCTACCAGAAAAAAAAAAAATCCAGAAAAAAAAGGACAATAAAATTAACATTAATGCATTTTGCTATTGCTTAGCAGCGCTGATTATGAGCCTGGCTGAAGAGAGCACTGGCAGGAATGCCTGTCTGCAACAGAATTTGGGGATTATCTGTAAACTCAAATTATCACCTGGATCTCTCTTCCCCTTTAATACAGATGCTGTCGGAGTTAGAGGCCTGAAAACCTGAAAGGGGACTCAGACACCATTTAATCCAATAATTAAGAGCTGATGGTACTTTCGTATATCACCATGTTCCAAGAACTAATGCAGCAATTAGTACAAAAGTCTTCAAAAAGTTCCTAACCTCTGGTCCAGTAATTCTATCTCCAGGCATCTATACAAAAGCAACTGCTTAAGGGGAAAAATAATTTAAACAAAATGTTCATTGCAGCTTTATTAAGCCCTAAATTGGAAAGGTTAAACAAAATATTGTGTATACACACAATATAATATCTCATTTTTTAAAATAGTATTAAAAAATATTTAAACCTGTAGAGGAAACCTTATATAAGGTTAAACAAAAATTAAATGAATATATAAAATTATACATAGTGTGTTTCCCAATTTTGTTTTAAAATATTAGATGCATAGGAAAAAAGACTAAAATCTAAGTGTTAGTGGGAATTAACACTTGAAGGTGGAATTTTGTTGATTTTTTTATTTTCTTCTTCCTCTCTCTATATATATTTTATAAATGCTTTACTGAAATAAACAGTTTAACTCCAGTTTTGATGTTTGACTGCTGTTATGGATTGAACTGTGTCCCCCAAAATTATGTGTTGTAAATCCTAACCCCTATACCTGTGGATGTAAGAATTTGGGAATAGGGTTTCTTTTCTTTTATGTTAATGAGCCATATCAGTGCAGGGTGTGTCTCAAACATAACCACTTTTGAGATGCAAAAGGAGGAGATTAGGCACAGAAGCAAGCAAGGGCAAACAGGGGAAAGATAGGTGCCACCTGGAGATCCCCAAAGAACTCCAAGAAGAACACTAAAGAAGCTGAGACAAGGATTTTCCCTCTGAATGGACAGAGGGAGCCCTCCCTTAGAGCCAGCACCCTAAATTTGGACTTTTAGCCTCCTAAACTGTGAGAAAATATATGTCTGTTCATCAAAGCCACACACTTGTGGTATTTCTGTTATAGCAGCACTAAGAAACTAAGACAACTGCTGACAGCTTTCAAGCCCTGCTATTCCTCTTTCCCCTTCTGCTCCACATCTGAGTAAGCTGTTAAGAAAGCTCAGGTACTCACTCCTTTGGTGCTGGAAGGGCATTCTAACTATGCAAGCCCCAGTCTGTACACTGGAATCTTCACCCTAGTCCCACCCCCTAACCACAATAAAAACCCCAAGCCCATCTCTTTTCCCCACTCTCTCCAGCCATTTTTGGACCATCCAGGGGGCCTGCCCTGCTCTCCCCAGAAAGCCTCATTATATGAGTAATTAACCTTTTCATACCTTCTTGGTGCATATTTGGCATCACCACCCTCAACATCTGAACCAAATTTAGGTTCAGGGATCCATCCCACCTCTGTGGAGTCCTACATCTAAAATGAGCATGTCTTACTTTCACACCAAAAACTGAAGTACTATTTTAAAAAAAGAAAGCTATTACTTTTCAAGTCAAGCATGCCTGCAGCATTTTGTTCATTTTCTAGAAAGCACATATTTTAAGACAGCAGTCCAAGAAACAGGAGAATTCATTATAAGGTAGCAACTCTGGATTCAAGACAACACATGTCTAGAAGAACCATCTTCTGTTCTGGGCTAATTGTACCTGAAGAAACATACCTGGACTCAGAAATTGGTCTTCTGTAAGTACATCTCCAAGGGTGACAGATAAAAATTGGTAACTGGGTCTCTGCCAGCACCAGAATCTCTTCTTTTTGGTCACCAGACTTAGAAGTTGTAACTTATCAGAGTCATTCAAGTTTGATACTGCAATCAGGTTACCACCAGCATCAACTTCTCTAAGAAAATTCCTTGTTGCCTTGGCAAACATTCTGATGGCTCCAAATTACCTGAAAAAATAAAGTTTTCCCAAAGTCAAATAAAGGTTTTTGTTCTAAAATTGCTTCATTTCCCCCTAGCATCAATCAGTTCACAATGAAAGAATACCTTATCCCTAGGAAAGCCTCTAGTTTGACTTCAGTTGATGACAAAGAAATTGATTTGAGATACTGAAAGAGAATATATGTACCAGTTAGGATAGGCTAGGTTATGCTTCAGAAACAAACATCCCCCAAATCTTGTGGCTTATAACAATAAAAGTGTATTTGTGGTTCATACTATATATCCAATACAGGGGGAGAGGAGAGCTTTGCTCACCATAGTGATTCACGGATCCAGACTGATGGGACAGCCACCATCTTGAGCACTGCTGGTCATCAACCAACAGGAAAGAGAGTTCTGGAAGGTCTCATACCATCAATTAAATGTTCTGGCCCAAAAGTGACACATGTCATGTCTACTCACCGTTTATCAGAACAGTCACATGACTACCCCCATATGTATCTTAGTTATGACTACTTCTTTGAAGAGTCAAACATGCTTTTTCTCTATACTGTGTGAATTTTCCTATTCAGAAATGAAAAGTAACTAGTTACCACTTTTTAACCAGAAAAGAAGAAAACACAATCACACTTCAGATGAAAGAAAAAAGAATATATATTGAAAGATATAAAAGAAAAGTACTGTATTCTGTGGATGTATAGACTATTCAGTAAATGGTGTTAGAACAACTGGCTAAGCATTGGGAAGAAATAAAGTCAGATCTCCATCTCACACCACACACATGAGCAAATTCTCAATGGATTAGGGGAAAAATGAAACCATTAAAACTAGAAAAAAAATGCAGATAAATATTTATATCATTGTAGGATAAGAAGGGCCTTTAGAAATATGACAGAAAAAGTGGAAACCAAATTGAAAGCAATTGATAGTCTTGGCTATATTGAAATTAATACCATGAAAATTTTAAAAATAAATCATTGTAAAATGCAAATGGCCAACTGAGAAATACTTGCAATGTTTATGATAGAGGTAGAATCCTTAATATATAAAACATTTTTACAAATGAATTTTTTTTTAAACACTGCAATAGAAACATGGGCAAATGTTATAAACAAAGAATTCACACACATACAGACTGCATTATGTGTGTGTATGTATGTGAGTGTGTGTGTATATATGTATACACATATGCAAAATCATATTACTCAAAAAGCACAAATTGAAATAATGTTTTTAAAGCTATCCAGGGTCAAAAATTAAAATGTCTAAAACCCTCATATGAATTTAAGGACAAGAGCTGTGTTTTATTTTTACTCTGGTGCCTGAGACAGTCACAGGGACCCTAGAAACAGACTTTAAGAGCTGAAGGTAATCTTAGACCTTAACTAGTTCAATCCACTTTCTTTAACAGGAATCTCCTCTAGGGCATCAGGGAACATTTGCCCTTCTTATCACTATTACTGTACTCACTACTGTCGAGTAGATACTGACTCATAGCAACCCCATAGGACAGAGTAGAATTGCCCCACAGGGTTTCCATGGAGCAGCTGGTGGATTCGAACTGCTGACCTTTTGGTTAGCAACCATAGCTCTTAACCACTGTACCACCTGGGCTCCAATCACTAGTTCTTCTCTAAAGTACCTTTTCCTAGATTATTGTGAAGCAGTAGTTACCTAATCTCCTTCTTGCATACTAACAATAAGAATTAACATTTTAAAAACATAAGAGACGCTCCTTTCTGATAGTGAACTGCAAATAACAGCTAAATATGCTTATTCTCTTATCTCTAATTAATCTCTCACTATACCTAGCATAAGGAGCTTGCATGAAATGGAACACTCATTTATTCATTTACCAAATCATTTATTGAATCATTCACTAAATCATTTATTAATTATTCTTGAATACTGACTATACCCTACGTACTGGGTTTAAGCATGTAGGATACAGAGATTTAAAAAAAAAAAAAAAGTCTCTCTCCTCAATGAGTGACAAGACAGAGAAATAAAAAGGAAAGCTCTTTGTTAGACACTGACACAAATTGCTTTGGGGGAATGCACCAAGAAAAGGGCCTCTAAATCCAACTGGACCAATAAGCAACATTATGATAAACGGAGAAAAGTTTGAAGTTGTCAAAGACTTCATTTTACTTGGATCCACAATCAATACCCATGGAAGCAGCAGTCAAGAAATCAAATGACGCGTTGCATTCGGCAAATCTGCTGCAAAAGACCACTTTTAAAGTGTTAAAAAGCAAAGATTGAAGTGCGTTTAAGGACTAAAGTGCGCCCTGACCCAAGCCATGGTGTTTTCAATTGCTTCACGTGCATGTGAAAGCTGGGCAATGAATAATGAAGACCAAAGAAGAATTGATGCCTTTGAACTGTGGTGTTGGCGAAGAATATTGAATATACCATGGACTGCCAAAAGAATGAACAAATCTGTCTTGGAAGATGTACAGCCAGAATGCTCCGTAGAAGGGAGGATGGTGAGACTTCATCTCACATACTTTGGACATATTATCAGGAGGGATGAGTCCCTGGAGAAGGACATCATGCTTGGTAAAGCAGAGGGTCAGTGAAAAAGAGGAAGACCCTCAACGAGGTGGACTGACACAGTGGCTGCAGCAATGGGGTCAAGCATAACAATGATCATGAGGATGGCACAGGACCAAGCAGTGTTTTGTTCTATTGTACACAGGGTCACTATAAGTTGGAACCTACTTGATGGCACCTAACAACAACAACAAATCCAACTGGAGAGAAGTAAGGGGTCACAGAAGTCCTCCTGAAGGAGTTGGCATTCAAGCTGCATTTTGTAGGCTAAGTAGAAGTAAGACAAGCAAAGGAGGCCTGCGAGGGCACTCTGGCAGAGGAACAGAAATTATAAAAGCACAGAGTTTGCAGGTGGTGGAAGGGTGGGGAAAATAGTACAAGGCAAGATTTGTTACCAGCCAGCTCATGATGGTCCAGAAGACACTGTATTGTGTTGAGATGGCCATCTATCACTTCCTTGACAGATCTGGAACTGCTTGTAAAGCTCTGGGATTGATTCCTGCACTGGTATGTAGGGTTCTAGAATGGGAAAGGGCAAAGGACAAGGCTGAAGAAGCCTCTGGTCCAGGTCCTCAAGGTCTATGCCTCCTCTGCTGAGGAGACAGGCAACAGGAGCTATTGAAGGGTTTAAGTAGGGAGCAATGTGATCAGAATGGCCACTTAAAAAATCCTCTGGAAGCAAAACAGGAGGTGGACTTGGGGGGAACAAGATTAGAGATGGACAAGAAATGATGAGGTCCTGGACTATGTGAGTGGCATAAGAACAGAAAAGATTTGGTGGTTTTCACCAGAACTCTGGTTGGATGTGGGGGAGGTGATGAAAAAGAGGAGCCCTCTAGAACGTCCTCCAGGTCTCTTAGGTGTGGGTTGGGTGATGAGAGGAAGATCTTAGTTACCAAGAGGGGGAATTTGGGAAGAAGCAGATTGATGAGGTCAATAGGCAATAACTGCTGAGACCGGTATCTAGGATACCGGTACCAGTTGCCATCAAGTTGGTTCCAACTCATGGCAACCCCGTGTGTGTCAGAGCAGAACGGCGCTCCAGAGGGTTTTCAATCGCAGATTTTTCAGAAGTAGATTACCAGGCCTTTTTTCCTAGGGGCCTCTGGGTGGATTCAAACCACCAACCTTTTGTTATAGCTGAGAACTCAGCTGTTTGTACCAACCAGTCCCTGAGTTCTACATTATTTCTAAAATGTTGTTATTATTAAAAAATGGCACACTAATTATCGCTGTATGTGTGTTCTTCATATCTGGGCAAATGTATCTGAAGGGTAGATGCCTAGAAGAGGGATTGCTGGATGAACGGGTAAATGCGTCTATAATTTTAGTAGGCATTGCCAGATTTCCCTTCAGAGGGGCTGTACCATTGTGCAGTCTCACCAGTAATATATGAAAGTGTCAGTCTCAGCAACAGAGAGTGTGTAATCGAGCTTTTGATTTTGCCAGTCTGGTAGGTGAGAAACAGCATCTCCATATAGTTTTAGGTTATGTTCTTTTAATATAAATGAAATAAAGCCTCTTTTATCTTGCTTAAAAGCTTTTTGTACTTTTTTAAAAACTTTTTGTGTCTTTGGCTCATTTTCTATTGTTGCTCGCTTCTGTTCCCCCTGCCCCCTTTATTTCTGGAAACTTTTGATATAATAGAGATCAGCCAAAATATAGGCTAGAAATTTAGTACAAAAGATTTTATAATGTGGTACTGGGAGACAATAAGCTGCCACTTTCATTCTCAAACATCTGAAGTAACTGGTCTAATTACTGGCACCAATGAAAAAAACAGAAAATAACAAATGTTAGAGAGGCTGTGAGGAAATTGGAACTCTTAATGCATTGCTGCTGGGAATACAAAATGGTACAATCATTTTGGAAAACAGTATGGTGACTCCTTAAAAAGCCAGAAATAGAAATACCATATGATCCAGCAATTTCAGTCCTAGGAATATATCCTAGAGAAATAAGAACCATCACACGAATACACATATGCACACCCATGTTCATTGCAGCATTGTTCACAATAGCAAAAAGATGGAACAACCTAGGCAGGTGCCCATCAACAGATGAATGGATAAACAAACTATAGTACATACACATAATGGAATACTACGCAACAATGAAAAACAGCGATGAATCTGCGAAGCATCTCACAAAATTGATGACTCTGGATGACATTATGCTGAGTAAAATAAGTCAATCACAAAAGGACAAATATTATATGAGACC